CATTTTATCTGATGGAATTTATGCATTTATTCCAAGTATGCATCAGTTTATTAGCTTACACTTGGGTGGTGCTGTGTACTCCTACTGGGTGGACCATAGGCCATTTAGAGCATGTTTGGGAAGTGTTTATAAACACTTTTGGTAAAACCACTTTTTATCTACACATTTCATAGGGCCTACAAATATTACTCACTTTTCTACCACTCGTTTTTATCTGTTTATAAACACTTTTCAAACATACAGTAAGAAAGTACCATGAAGTCGTCGTACAGATCACACATCAAGGACACGAATTAGATATTTTAGTAAGTGCATGGGGTGGGAGTCGGGGAAGTCGATACAACACACATATTTGAAGAAATACATAAAAACCTACCAGCTATACAAATTTGTCAGAAAACCGTAGATCCCTCCCATGTTGCCTCCACAGTCAAAGACTTCTGGTCTTTATCTTTTCTTGCAGTACTCCTACATTGAACAAACCATGCAAGTACCAACCAGCTGCATCATGGCGGAGCAAGTAATAGAATAAATGCTTTACGAGGTCTAACAATGTTTCTCGCCAAATTCAGTTTCACCAAGCACTTGGAATAGGTCCAGCCCTGTGATTTCTTACTTTCACCTATCTGCCCAATAGTTGACTCATCTCCAGTAAACAATAGGACTGTAACAACAAAATGTTATTTCAAATAAACTCAGGGTCGACAAACAGTAGTACTTGGACCAAAAAAAATCGTAGTAACATTGTCAAACAAGCATATTAGTGAAAAAAGGTAAGCTTGTTCCTGATGCAGAGTCCTGGGTGTCAATGAAGCGCGATGACCGCTATGTTGGTTTGCTGGGTGTGGCATTGAGCCAGTTATATATTTTGCATTACTACTGCAGGTGTATTCTACATCAGTTGCAATGCTGCTGACGGCGGTGTTGTCTGTTTTCCTCTTTGGATTTCATTTGTCCCTTGCCTTCTTTCTTGGTTCCACGTGAGTATTTATGTTAAAAAAAAAATTAAAACAACATTCACACAAAGTCTCACGTGCTTTTGGAATATGACGAATGAATTCGAAATGTCTGACTAATGTAATTCTGCCTTCACAGTGTTGTCTCCATCGCAGTATATTTGCACTCCATTGGGAAGCTCCAGAGATAGTGAATATTATAGTTTCTCAGCCATGTTTGAGTTATCAGTGCAAAGACTGATGATTACTCTGTTTTTTTTTTTCATTATTTGTTTTTGTATCCTTAATCAAAGATAAAATCTTGTCCAAACTTTAGGTAGCGGGCAACCTGGCTTATTTGGCTTTCAACCTTGACGGTATATTTTCCATTTTTATTGATCACTCTTTTATATCTATCTCAACTTCACGTAAAAAATGATCGACGTCTTACATTTTCAGGTAAATATTACCACTTAATTTTGTCCCGGGAGAAAAATTTGAAAATAAATTATATTTAAAAATCGACATACTTCATCACATTAAAATTTATGTTCCTAGTTTCAAGATTTTGCAGCCACAACATTAGGTGGCATGTTTACCTAGAATCAGAGACTAGTATCAAATTTGGATGTCAATTTTAGTAACAAGAATTAATAGAGTGACTAGTATTGAAAATAAATTAGTAATGTTATTTATAGTGAAGGTTATTGATAGTCGCCTTATGTAGCATATACATAACAGTTCGTTATTTGATATATTATTTTGCATTACATTCTCTTCAAAAGTATGAAAAAATGTTAACTCTATAGGATAGTTGATCGTTGTTGTGTGTCTTATCATCATTATTGATATTATGACTGAAAGGACATTCTATACGTTCGTCTTAATCTAAAACCTTTAGATTTCAAAGCGTTCTTTTGAAGTTGTTACGAGTTATCCATTTTCTAAACTTCATCTACTAAATCCATGTCAACACAAAGAATGTACTCTAGTCTAGAGGACCTTATCTTCGATATCTCTAAGCTCATCCGTGAATAAAGCGTATTTCAATACTCATGTCACACACTTGACATAAATGTATAGTACTGGACCACTAGATCTCATATTCACAATTGCTTCATCACACACATAATAGCATTGATATTTGACATAAACGTGTAGCACCGGACCACTACATGTCATATTCACAATTGCTTCATCACACACATAATAGCATTGATATTTGACACGTGTAGCACCGGACCACTACATGTCATATTCACAATTGCTCCATCACACAAATAATAGCATATATATATATTTTTTTCCTCTAAATCGGTAAACGTTGTACAGAAATCTTATTTTCCATCAATAGCCAGAATAGGTAGATGGCTTTCACGATTGATCTAACCATAGCGTTTTACCTTTGAATTATTATAACGAACCAACCTCTACGTTCAAATCGTTAATTTAACGTCTTGGGCATAAAGCTGGATCGTTATATACACTCTCTTTTGTAATATCATTGCATGATTCTTGAACTTAATAACTTTATAGGTTGCACAATATTGAACGTCTCCTTTACTTTCATAAATAGCCAACATTACATGCATAAAGAAAACCACTTAAGATTGATTCAGATGAGATGTTTTGGCTTCATAACGTATTAAGCATGAAACCGATCATTGAAGATAGTACATCGAACATCAGAATCGTGATCCTTGGTGCAACTACATTCGACCTCCAAAACAGTGATTTTATTTTAATCAACCAATCCACGATTTCAAAAGATCGATGTTTTTTCTTACGACCCTGTTTGTGGAACATATGTGCTAGTTATGCTTATCATCTCTTTCTCTCCGCACAAGTTTGACATGACTTTTGAAAAGTCAAACATGCCCGAAGTTTTAAGTCAGGAATTGATGAATTATTGCAAATTAAGCCTCTGTTTGGTATCCATTCTTTTTTTCATTCTCATTATTCTACTAATTTTCAACCACACATTCATCAATAAAATAATATTTTCCATCACATCAATAACATTTCCTTCATTTTCAACCACAAAA